TTCAGCAGTTATATTGGGGCTTTAACATGTCATATAGGGTGTGAGACAGAATTATACTTCTTTCTCTCTCTCTCTCTCTCTCTCTCTTACAAATTACAATACAAGTTGCGTTCCGAGGTTCCCAAACGTGTTGAGCCTCACAAGCTAGGGTTCTGCACCTCCCACCTTTCTCCCTCCGCCCTCACCAATTGGTACCAATTCTTCAACTTCTCTTTTCTTTCCAAATCCCCAATCCCTAATCCCTTTTCTCAATCCCGATTTCTTTTCTTTTCCTTCTCCCCCGCTCGATCTATTTTCATGAATATATTCCTCTGCTGCACCGAATGACCCTTCCTTCTCTTTGAAATTTTAATACAACTACCTTTCTCCCACTTCTAATCCCTGTCCTTGTGCTTCAGAATGGGATTGTGACTTCATACCCGTGCTGCTAGTTGACATTTTGAAATTGTAACTGTGGGAGCAATATTCTGTATTTTGTGACATCATGGAGATACAGACTTGTGGCAAGCCAATTGATTCCTTGCTAGAGAAGGTGCTTTGCATGAATATTCTGTCCTCTGATTACTTCAAGGAGCTCTATCGCTTGAAAACGTATCACGAAGTTATTGATGAGATCTACAATCAAGTTGATCATGTGGAGCCGTGGATGACGGGGAATTGTCGCGGTCCTTCAACTGCCTTTTGTCTTCTCTACAAGTTTTTTACCATGAAGCTCACTGTCAAGCAGATGCATGGGTTGTTGAAACATCCTGATTCTCCTTACATTAGAGCGGTGAGTGGATGTGCCTGGCAATGTATATGGGTCATTACTCATTTATTTTAAGTGGTGAAAGCATTCTCTGTTCATTATGATATGAAAGTTTTGTTAGTTTGTGCATGAATGCCTTGCTGACCATTTCTAATCGAGTTTAGAAAGTGGTAAAATTTATGCTTAGCTTGAATAGTTAGCCACTTTTTTTTGTATGTCAAGATGATGCTTGCACGTGAGACTTTGATTGTATGGGGATCACTTGTTTGTAGCCCGATATATGTTAAATTGTTGATTATCATAACAGAGCCTGGTCTGAGTGTGTCACTGTGTTGGATTGTCAAATGTAAGGTAGCCAAAATTGCATGTTAGATTGTAAGATTATATGCTTCCACGTTTATGCTTGCGGCTAAGTCACACCCAAAAAAAAAAATGACTTGGTGAGATATCTGTTTTTTTGCTGTGAATTGTGATTGATTGTAGGATTGGATGATCCTATCATCTTGGGCAAGCCTGACCCTAAGCCTTATAACCTCTTTTTCCATATGTTTGAACTTCCCTCTATCTCGTTCACTGTTTTTGAGCCTTGATCCCTGCTGCTTTAAGTTTGGGCTTGTGGGGAGTGGTAGAGACTTGAGATAGGGTACATTGTGGTTTGGATTGAGCTGGGAGGGTGGTTGGTTGGTGGTTTGACTGCTTTATTGCTTCCTGTTGTTTCAATATATGCACCTGTTTCTGGTTGGGGTTGATGCTTGGCTGCTTGCTGATTTGTTTTTTTCTTGGGTTTGCCAATTATATTCAGCTTTGTGTCTCTGATTGTGCTTATGTCCTGATAATTTAGTGCATTTGGTTTGTAGAGATGTTTTCAATTTTCATTGTGTTTTAGCTAATAATTATAAATATTCCATCTTGTTTTAGTTTGTTTCTTATTTTCATATATTTGTATAGGAAATAGAGAAACTAAAAAAATTGATCAGTGATGTAATTATTAGTGAAAAAAGAAAAAAAGGAAAAAACATTTTCACAAACCAAACATGCCCTTAATCTTTTGGCTGGGCTGTTATAAGTATTTTATTTTTTTATGTTGTAAAAAACTTGTGTTTTGTATTATGATTTGCAGCATAAACTTAGTTGTGACTTCACAGTACAAGTATTTCTGTGAAAAGTTCGATGTATAAACTATCTTAGTAAAATAATGTAGTAGCTTGCATCTTGTATACTTTTCTATTTATCTGAAGTTTTGTTTAATGAGTTGAAGGATTGTATGATTATATTCAGCTTGGCATCGAAATAGAGACTGTTTTGTATGGAAACATTCTGATTGGTGGTTTTTCCCCTCTCCATTTATCTTATGACCGATGTTGATTCCTTTTATTTATAGGTTGGATTTCTCTATCTGAGATATTGTGCTGATCCGAAGACACTGTGGAATTGGTTTGAGCCATATATTAAAGATGATGAGGTATGATAACTTGGTTATGATCTCACTATATTCTGATGCTTTCTTTTTCTGTAAATTTTTACTTAAAATTAATAGATTATTGCCTTTTCCCATTTTTTTGTACTTTCTTCATGCGTTGTTGGATTTTATCTGTGAGAGGTTTGATCAAAGTGCTGAAGCCTAGATATCACTTTTTTAGTTTTTGAATTTTTCATTTGTCTAAGCACTGTTTATACCAATGCTATTCGTATGCTAATGGTTTGTCTTATAAAAAATGTTGTTGGCCAAGTTTTCTCATTATCTGCCTTTAAACAAATCTATCTTTGGTAATTGATATATTTTGTGCCCATATATTCCTTTGCTTAGGAAGATAGTTACCTGTTTGGTTGTTGTCTCGAATTATCTTCGATATCAGGGTATCATTTAAAGTGTTCCCTTAAGTAATATATAAATTATTATTCGTTTTAAATTATGATGCTGTATTTCAGGAATTTTCTCCCGGATCTAATGGTCGAATGACTACAATGGGTGTATATGTCCGTGATTTGCTTCTTGGACAGGTACGTTATCATTAAATATATCAGGCTATATTTAACATAAGAGGATGCTTCCTGGTTCTTTGGACTCATGTTTCCATTTTGCTTGTAGACAATGAAATGCATTTACTTGATAATTGGCAAACTATACCCTGACCCTTTGATTTTGAGACTTTTAAATGTATGCCACACAATGGCATTGGAAAAAAAATTATTTGAATCAAGTATTGACTATTTAAATTGAGAATTCTCTCCAGAGCTCACCTACCAGAATTCAGATGCATCACAAGATTGCAAATGCAGATATGTCCCTCATCATCCCATAATTTGGAGTAACAGTATGAGGTGCTTTCGGTATCTTTGGACATAAAATGTTTATACCTACCAGTAATTGCTGATAAGAATTAGTTCCTAAAAATCTTCCTCTTTTTTTCGATTTGCATGCTTTGATGGTTGATTTTTCATCTATAAAGCCACTGTATTCAGAGGCTACCTGTAAAAAAAAAAAATTGAGTACTTTTTCATGTAGTAGAGTAGAACCTTTGCCTGAAAGACATGCAAGTTATCAATTTAGCCCGTACAGATTAGTTTGACTCCTTGAAATACATTACTCACCTTCATTATTTGGATGGACGTACTCTAATATTGGAAATCTGAACTCATGGGATTAAATTGATAAAATTTATATACAAGTGAGCAAATCAATAACAGGTGTATTTTTCTGGGGCTAAAATAAGAATTTTCTCACTTCACTTCTCATTGTTTCTTCTTTTTATTGAGGTTTAGCTGATGCTTGTCTTTTTCACATCTTCAATTCTCAATTTTTTTCACATGCAAATATTTATATACCAGTTGTTTGACACTCCTGATAGTATAGGATATTTAATTCTCACTTTTTACACCACCTCTAGTTGGGTTATGTACTCAATGGAACATGTTTCAACTTTTAAATCTTATGGAGCTATATGAATCCCTGTCTGCATTTTTCTATTTATCTTCCAGTCTTTTAGGATTATCCTTTATGAATCTTAATTTCTTTTGAGGTCCTAGAGAAAGATGTAGGCAAATTTGTTAAATAATTTCTGTTCTGTTTGGGAATTTGTCTTGAATTTTTCTAAGCTAATACTTAATACTTGGTAACAGTTACTGGTCATATTATCATGTAGTCATATACTAACCACCATTTTGTATTATATACTACGTAGTTATCCACCCTGAAACTTGGCGGGTTCAGTGTCAAAAGTCATCAAGTTTTGCATGTTCTTTTCTACTCTTGTTGATATGTTTCTTGTTCTGAGGTGTAAATGAGTGTTTGAGTTTCTATTTAAGGGCTCTGGCTTGTTGGATTTATAAGTTTGTTTCAGTTCTAATTATCAATTGCATTTTGACATTTTGGCTTTGAGTGTATATTAATAATCTTTGTATGTGTAAAATTTAATATTAATTTGAATTATATAGAATCCAACATTTTAGCATGACTGAAACTCTTGGAGAAATAAATATTCTGAAGCCTGAGCTTTTTAGTTTGAGTTTTTGAATTGATATTTCCAGAAGACTGAATGTATCCTGCTATGATGATATGTACTTGTGTTAATTAGCCATGCTGCTAGAAAGTCATTGTTAACTATAAAAAATATTATGTTTTTTGCTTCCCTGAGTATAAGAGTGTTTTGTAACGCTTAGCATTTACTTTCTCAATACATGGTTTTGTAAATTGTGACGAGGTACTTGGAATTTGTATAATATAGCTACAGGTTCTTATGATGACTTCACTAAGGAGAATGTAATTTTGTTAACTGGAACTCCTTATTTCCTCCAAATAACTGTTTTTTTTTTTCTGGGGGGGAGTTTCTGGAACCCCATCACCAGAATGTGGGAGGGTTTTCAATGTCTTCTTATAAGGTTTCTTGAGGATTAGAAATTGAATGATTCAAACTAGTGGAAATTTTTGGTTCCAATGAAGAAGGAACAAGTGCAAGAACTGAAATATCTGATTATGTTTTCAATGCATGGAATGCTTTTAGAGAGAAACACGTTAGTTTAATCTTGTCTTCCTATTATTTCATTCTCATGAACATTTAGTATTTATATCAATGTTTAATGTTTCTTCGGGTTAAGTGGTTACTACCTCTTCACGGTAGTAGTCATTGTTACGTTTGTTGATGTTTTTTGATTATGGGAATGTTGTGCATGGTACACAATAAGCCTAGATTGGCAAACTTTAATGCTGCAGTTCCCAAATTTATTTTACCTTTTAAACTCCAGATTATTTAACTTTAAGGGATTGATGAGTCTGTTCTTCTGTTGCAGTATTACTTCGACACACTGTTTCCTCGCATTCCTGTTCCTGTATTGCGGCAGGTTGTGTCTCATCTTGAAAAGATGAAGCTCCCTACTACACATTCTGGTTCAACCGGGGAATCCACCCGTCATGGTTCTGATGATACTGCTCGTAGACCACCTTCTGTTAAGGCTGCTCTTTCAGTCTCTTTTGGTCAGCGGGCTCCACATCGTGCCTCCACAAGGGATTCTTCACCTATTCGCCGTACATTACCTTCTCACGAAAGAAATGGCAGTGATGACATCCGAAGATCTCCAACTAGTCGACGCAGCCAGAGCCGTGAATATCCTGATAGGGATAGGGACCGGGAACGGTCACGGTCCAGAGACAGGGAACGTGACCGTGATAGGGATAGGGATCACGATAGGGACAGGGATCGGGATCGGGACCGTGATAGGGACAGATATCGTGACCGAGATAGGAACAGGGAGTGGGAGCGAGACCGAGACCGGGAAAGACACAGGGATCGTGACTCGGACAGAGATCTGGAGAGGGACAGAATGAGGAGGGATAAGGAGCGGGAAAGAGAGAGGAGTTATGATCATGACAGGAGATCTAGGTACACAGAGAGAGAAAGCAGCCGGGATTATGACAATGGTAGCAGGCACTATCGTAGAAGCAGAAGTCGCAGTAGAAGTAGGAGCAGGAGTAGAAGCCAGAGCCTGCAAGCTGGCACTGCACGCAATGAACCGCGTTCTAGTCCTCAAAGAGATGGAAGTAAGAGAACTTCTGCATCCAGTAATCTAGCTAAACTTAAGGATATGTATGGTGATTTAGGGGATACTAAAGGAGATGCCAACATGGAAAGAATTCCTAGAAAGGATAGTGGAGGAGAAGAGGTTATTAGACTTGGCGGTTCTACATGGAAGTATTGAAAGTTATCATGGAATGCTTGTATCAGATGTTGGATGACTTTCACGGAGAAAAAAACATTGGGTCTAGCCCTTTTGTTACCTTTGTCTTTTGGTTGACAGATGTTTTAGATTGATGAATGCTATCTATATTAGCATTTATAGATAATGTATACTAGAATTTATTCCTGGTGCACTGAATTTCATGCTTTGTAATTGCAAGTTTTAGACTAAAGATAATTCTATGTAGTCCGGAACTACAATGCTTACTTGATAGTTGAAACATGATATTTTACTGCGTTTCCTTACATATCAATAATTTAATAAACCATTAATTTACCCTGAAGTACCACTCTCAAATAGCTCTTAAATTACTGAAATTGTTTAAACAATTTTTAAAGTATTAGAAATCTTGCTACATAGTTACTTAAATATTTTTTTCCCTTCAAATTAGTTCTTCAATGTTAGTAAAATTAAATAGGGACTAAATTGATGGGTATTTAATACTTTAAAGATTATTTATATAATTTCATTTGTTTAAGGACTATTTAAGAGAGTGATATTTTGTGATAAAATTGAAGGTTTATTCTCAATAATTATGAATAATGTCTGTAATTTGATATGCCTTTTGGAGGAAGTTTGATAAGAAATCTACTCTGATGCTTATATGCTGTACGTAGTGTGGGACAAGTTGCTGTCCAGTTGCCATTGGTGGAAAAGCTTTAATACTCTTTTGGTTAAAATTTGAATGTAATACAGTTTAGAAATGTTAGTGGCTTTTTTTTTTTTAACACTAATTAAATCTGTATAAACTTTGAATTTGGATACTACAAGTAAATGACTCACTCGCGAAATTATAAACTCAATGATTGATCACACTATTTTTTAAAATATATTCTTGTTACTTATGAGACGAAGTTTTCGAGGTGAGAGGTTTAATCTGAACAATTGAGAAATTATGAGGACTAAATATAAATATTTAAAATTAAAGAGAGAAAAAGTATACATAGGTTAAAATACGTGAATTAAAAAATATAAGTCAATTTTTTTACAAGCCAAAATTTGAAGTCCAAGTACTTGATTCAACTTATTTATAATGGACGAATACTCGTCTTATTCCAGCACGAGTATGAATTAGCAATACATGCTTAGTTTGTGGGGGAAAGATCTCAATTTGATTATAGTAAAATACATATTTGTATTAACGAGTTAAAATACAAGCAAATAAAAAGTAAATGAAATCAAAATATTTTGGAAATCAAGATTCCATTCCGGTAAACAATTCAGACGATTCAGACCTTATATTGTTCTTGCATTTGATCTGAACTTGTGTTTTTCTTCTTTTTTTTTTGGATAAATATCAAATATTTGTTTTCAGCCCACTTACAATAACCTAGTGGTCCGAGTTTGAAGTAATATATACATGTCTTAATTATAATTTTAATAAAAAAATAAAAAAATACTTGTAGTACGGCAAATGAGTAAGGGAAGGAATCCGTGACTAAAGTGCATGGATCAACTAACTTCCATGTTTAATAGCCTTGTGCACGTTGGCCTCTGAGAGTTCCAAAATCTGCTTTATGGACAATAGAGTGTTATGGAAGATAAAAAACTCTCTGTTGCTGTCAATATGCATTCTTCTGTGTAATTTAACTTTTGACAATGCGCTAAAGCCATTAGTTTTTATTATCTTTTACTGGTTATTGGACCAAATTGAATTATTTTGTTAAAATTATTGTATGCATGGTTGAACTTGCCTCTGAAAAGGCCTATTTATTTGGATAAGGTTTTTGTGTTTTGCAGATACTGATTGTTTGGTTGTTGTATGAGGTAAAGGAAAAACTTCAAGGTGACATCCATATCTCATGCATTTAATTTGATGGAAGATCTCTTGTTTAAGCCCCAGTTTTTAACATTTAAGGCTTGGGTTTGGGTTAGAAACTTTTCCTGCATATTCATGGACTGCAAACATCCTTAATTTTCTTCATTTTAATTTTGGATAGTTATACCAACAAAACTTTTCCTTGCCTGGACCTGTACTTACATCAATGAGATTACAACAGACTTATTTTGACTAATTGATTTTAAGAGTTATACTTTAGTTCAAATATTTCGACAATAAGAAAGCCAAGTTTTATTGAAAATTGATTAAATTTTATTGACTGATACATTGGCTTCTGCCTTCATATATTACATGGCATATTTATAGTTAGTTGTAGGGATAAATTACCACTCACTATCATTTTGTCACATTAAACTTTCAAAAATCTAGATATATTCTCGGTCATTGCATATACCGTGGGATGAAGCTGTGTGTTTATATTGCATATCTCTGTTGAGGATTTAGAGCATTTGCTATCTAACACTTCCATTCCTGATTCTATCTTACTGACAGCTTGTTCCTCATTGAAACTAACAGATGGTGGGTTTGAGGAAGATGTTAATGCATATTGCTTTTATGCTAGGGCACATTACAAGAAAGGAGATAAGGTATTACACAGTTTTTGGAAATTTTAAAAGCATCTGTTTGCTTTCCACTACTGTCATTACATGTTATGTGAGAATATATGGTAGAAATCTTTTTTCTACACTTGCAAGTAATGCAAATAAATAGCTTCTATATTTCCAAGATAAAGAATTGTGTGTTACACTATTGTCATACATGTTCTGAGACTATATGAAGCACCGGTAGAGATCTAGGATTTGTCATTTGTGTAAAGCACTTGAGGATCTTAAGATATCCCCCCACTATTTTTGGCAAACCATTTGCTACAAAAACTGGGGACATTAGAGGAAAAGTTTCTGTATCACTTACAATCACTTACAACAAAGGGAAAAGAAAGCGTATGGTTGGTGGCAGTAAGCTATTATTCACACTTGATAGAATGATATATGTGACGAACAAAGATCAAAGCAGCACGGAAACCCACACTTCCAAGCATGAGAAAGAAACCATAGCAAATGCAAGCCATGTAGCCAAAAAAGAAAGAGGTTTGCATGAAGCCAGACATATCTGATCTTGCATAATAGTAATACAAGCAGTAGCCATATATGAACAAGCCAGTTGATCCACCACAAAGGAAAGACCTAATCATGCAAAAAGCCATGTAGTTAGAGAAGGAAGGAACATGCATCACATCATTGGTAAACAAGGAAAATATCGAGAGCACTTTGATGCTACAGTCTACATACCTCCACCACCATTTATGGTCCTCAGTAGCAAGCTGAAAGTATGTCAATGCCACAGTGACAAAAGCAGTGACAATCAAGAGGATGATGAAAACAATAAACAATATGCTGTATATGGTGTAAATTTGGTGACCCCACACACTAGCAAATATGTAGTAGAGTTCAATGTAAATGGCACTGAAAGGCAAAAATCCTGCCATAGCCATTTGAGCAAGAGTTCTACGATACCAAGGTAGTTGTGGAATGTCCCTAGGATATTTGTTGGTGCGGCAAGGAGCCTGAAACCCTGATTGGCTATTCTTACCAGCAATGCCACCAAGTACTAGTAAAGGTGAGGTTACAAGAGTCCATATGAGGAAAATAACTACAATTGTTCCAAATGGAAGTGCCGCAGTGGAGTTATATGCAAGTGCAACAGTGTTAAGAAAGCAGAATGTAAAAAACAATGGTCCAGAGAACAAACTTCCTGTCAACACCAAAATTTTCCCCTGTCAAACAACACATCAAAACCTCATTAGTGTACTTCATTTAAGCTGCAGTGTACTTCAATTGTTTAAAACAAAGGTAGTTAAACATTATTGTTTAATAATAGGCCTTTCATTACTGAATATTGACTATTAAATAAAAGCAACAACAAACTAAAGGTTTATAATCAAGAATCTGTTTGATATATGCGAAGAGTAGAGTTATGAAATTTCAAAGCCAGTAAACTACACAATAAACTGTTATCTAAAAGGTATTTTCAGCAAGAACTTCAAATCAATCAAATTCACTAGCTACTCAGAGACAATGAAATGCCTATGGAATAATAATGTACCCAGTTTCTCCCTTCAATTGTGTAATAGAAGGAAACTGCATAGTAGCCTGCGATGCCAGATGTTAGTGCATATATGATGACAAGCGCAGTAAACAAAGCTCCCCTGTTGTATGGATAGAATACACCAACTAGAGCAAGCATAAAGATGAAGATTGCCCTGAAAGCAGGAGCAAATGTTCATGGTTAGAAAATAGCTTAAGGCCAAGACCATGAACGATAAGTACTTAAACTGGTAACTCACTCACAGTGTAAATAGCTGAGTTCCTGTTCCAAGTGCTGCTGCAAACAAAGACTTGTATCTAGGATACCTGAACACATCACCATGGATATACTTCCATCCACTTTCCTCCTGGTCATCAACTGCTTCCTCATCAGGAGTAAACCTGTCATGTTTCATACAATAAGTTCCTTGAATGGAAGGTTTAAATCCACGAGAGTACATGCTGCTGAAATAACTAAGAACCTATTTGAATACAAGTTTAGAAGAGTTTTCTAGAGCTTTTTTTTATTGAAAATAAAAACCTTTTTTCTAGTAAAAAAAACTCTCAAAAGTACTTCTAACCTGTATTCAAATACACTCTAAATGAGAATGATTCTTACTTAACAAAATCATTCTTGAGCACACGCATGAGAATTATGGCCAGGAATCCAGTCAAGAGGAGAACAGTTACACATGAGTTGATGACAGAAAACCAATGGATTTCCAAGTTATGTGACAGAAAGGATGTCTGTGAGTATTTCTCTAGCCTCTTCTCAAATGGAATATCTGTTTCAGTCCATTTGGCAGAATATGTGAAGTCCACATCCACTTCACTTTCTTCTGTTAGGTCCACAACTGCATGTGGATCGTTTCGAACGAAAACATCAATGATCCGATCCTTGTTGTACAGAATCTCAAAATGGACATGCTTGAAAAGAAAGACTGTGGCCCCAGTTGGATCATCTTTGTCTTCATTATCAAATTTTCCAAGGAAACCCCAAATGGGCAAGTCATCATAGTACATCTGGTAGAAATAGTCCTTCAAGACAGCATGTTTGAATTGAGCAGCCTCTTCTCTTGTAAGCTTCTTTTTGCAGATACTCTCAGGTTCTCTGTCAATTTGGAAGTCCAGTTTGTATGGAGCAACAACTAATCGATCCCCATTCAAAACTTCACCAAGATCTTCCTTCTTTTCTTCCACATTAGCTGCTACCATCAAATTTTGGAATTATAGGGGATAGGAGAAACCAAAGGTAATAGTAGGGAATAGAGAATGGTATTAGCAAACTAACCTGGTGAGCAAAATGGAAGATCAAAATATCTGTATGTCTCACTGTGGTTAGGAGAAAAGCAGAAAGAGTTAACACAGTCATCCTATTATGAAATTTATGAATATGATAACTATGCTTTAGAAATTAGTGCTCGCATTAGATTATCCTTAATATCCATTTTTATATACGGGCATTAAGAAAGTTCTTGCACTTTCTTTCTTGGCCATAGAATAATCAAACTTAAATAAAAGGAATAAAATAAAATGGTATGGGTAGGGGTAAAAATTCAGAGGGGATGCATTAGAACATTACTTGATTTCCAAGATAAGTCTAATTAAAACAATTTAAAGGTCAACTCTGCCAGCCTGATCACTTGGATTCATTCTAAATTTCTATTCAACACTGCCTACAATTTCTGAATTTGACATTGGAACAAAGGATACTAATGTCTCTTTGGAGTTTCTACAGGGAAATTGAAACTATTCATAACTAATATCAAGTTTCTAAGTCACATTCAATTATTCCTCATTCATCTCGAAGAATTCATCCCGTTCACCACTCAAACAGTGAAATCTAGATGAAGAGGTAATTCGATCTTCATTACAGATAAATTAGAACACTACGGAATAAAAGAGGCAAGGCACTCAAATTCCAAAGGAAATCTCATTCTCAAAAAGATAACCCCATTTAACACAACAACAAAAAAAGTACATTTTTTTAAACATCTTTACAGGAAAATTGAGACTGAAATGTTCTGAAGCATGAATATGAAATGGTGGAAGTGGGAGTGACAGAGATTTAAAATCTGACCTGGGATTGTGAAAGGGTCCCACCTTGTTGGCATAAAAGGGAACGGAATCTCCTTTGTTGTAACGGTGATCCGATGCATCAGATGTGACATGGGTTATGCAGCACCACAGGATCACAATGGCACCAACCAAACATGCCGTTGACTTTCCCATACATTCATACATTGAAGAGAGAGAGAGAGAAACAAAGGGAGACTCTGTGGTGCAATGGCTTCTTCTTGCACTTATAAGCCAAATAAGTGCATGAGAGTGGGAGAGAAGAAGAGGGAATCACCACGTTACTTCCTTCAACAAAGAAAAAAATAGAAAAATGAAGAATAATATTAAAAAGATTTGAATTTGCAGGCACTTGTTCTTACACGGTAACAACGAATGATGATAGTTTTCTAAGGAGTTGAAAATGAATCATCGTCGTGAATGTGGAATAATGACAAATACGTGCCTAACACGAACACACTCTTGGATTTCAACAACATATGTATATCCGTCCACTTTTTTTTTATGTCATTTTTCGATTTGATAAATATTAAGGTTCCTCCTTTGATTTATTTCACGAGACAACGTCGTTTTTCTTGTGGTGACAATCACAATTCAATTCACCGCTCCATCTTTACCTCGTATTCATAACAAATTGCTAGCTGCCATCTTTTGCTCATGGAGGATGTTACGATAACCATTTTTTTTAACTCTTATTTTCATGAATAAACGTTTGAAGACTTATTTATTTTTATCTTAGTATAATCAATAGCGAATCAATATTTAACACCTTACGTCTAAAGAAAATATGAGTAATGTAATAATTTCCTTTTACTCAAAAGCTTAATTCACTTTTGTACAAAATAAAAAAAATGTTTGCCTTTGGCACCCTTGCTTTGTGAATGAGTGGAGTTAGGTAATTTTACATTAATGCTCTACATTTTGGATTGATGAAGAGTATATTTGACAATTCCCACTATGCACGCATATAATAAAAGGATTTAATTAAATACGGCGCTATTAACGATGTATTTCATCAAACAAAATTTTCATATATTATAAAAAAAAAAAAATTAAAATCATATAACAATACGTTTTTTTTTGAAGGGAATATAACAATACTTTATAAAATGCCAATATATTGTGTTCACATTAGTAATGCATTAAAATTAAATTCACAATGAAAAGAAAGAAAAAAAGATATAATGCACAACGGAAAAATACTAGTACATCTTTATCAAGAAAAGTAGATAAAACTATAAAAGTATGAATACTTTGCTGTGTTTCTCGTTGTAGAATAGAATGTTGAGGAATGCGTTTGACATGTTGAATTGAAGGTTGTCCACTAAAGTGCATGTTTGTAAACTCTGGAGACCAATTGGTTGAGTCGTGTTGGACATGGACCAACCCTTTTGTATGTGTGTGGAAATGGACCAACTTGGTTTTGAGAAGTGGCTCGGATTCACGATGAGGGGGCAGGGTCAATTTCCATCTCCGAATTTTAAGGTATAAATAATTTTAAAATTAATAAACTAAATCAAATGGAGAGAGAGAAATGAATAATAAATAGTACAAACATTTTAATAAAAAAGTTTAATACATCAATGAGTCTCTAAACATTTTTAAATTTTTTAATTAGATTCAAAAACTATATAAAAAAAATGTATTTGAGTCCTTGATCTTTTAAAATTTTTGTAATTGCATCTCTAGAGTTAGTAAAATTGTCAAAAGTTATTACTTTTGTGATGGTGTGAAATTGATACAAATTAATTACACATAATCAATTACCAAAAAAATATAAAAGATGAAAAGTCAACTACAAAATTTTGTTTAGAGATTTGATTAAAAAAATTTAAAATGTTCAGGGACCACTTGATTATTACAAAAGATTATTGCTTCATAACAATTTAATATTTGACATTTTTTTTAATTTATCACAATTACATTGATGACACCATAGTTTGAACTTATGACTTTGTGTATGATACTTCAATCCCACTATTAAGTTGACTCTAATGATAAAAGGTTTGGCAAATGTAACTACATCTTTGAGAGTAAAATAATTGTTTCAATCTTTGTAAAATGAAATAGGGTTATATATATATATATATATATATATATAAATTACAATATCACCCAAGGGACTATGCCCTCACCTTCAATTCACTTAATTGTAACACAACACGCAAGCGGTCCAAGTGTAAACCTCTTAACATGCTTAAAGATAAACTCATTAATATACTTAAAGTCTTGATAAGATGTATCTTTAAATCAAGGTTGTTCTTGAGATTTTTTTTTGGTGTACTAGACAAATTGAAAAAAATAACACTTTTATAATTATTTAAATATTATTTATCACTCTCAATTTCCAAATCCAATATTATAAGTGATGAGGTTATTTTATGGTATTTGTCTAAGGAGATATTTTTTAAGTGTTATTTTATAAGGTTATTACACAAGCATACTCCACAATGATGAAATATTGTCCGCTTTAGACTTAAACCCTCACGGTTTTGTTTTTGGTCATCACCCAATAGACCTCTCTAACATTGGAGTATGTATGTACTTTACAAGTTGTTATTTTTTCTCTTATTTTATCGATGTGAGACTTGTTTATATCCCAACACTAAGCAATAAACATACTTGCTAAAATAAAGACAAAAAGTAATATTTAAATAATTATATACATTATGTCTATATGAAACTATGAACTATCTTTAAAGATCCCTGCATAGTAAAAAAAAAAAAAAGAATTAGTAATGGTGATAAGTCACACAAAGTTCGTGACAAATAATAAGAATAGAGAGAATTAGAGATATTAAATATAAATAAAAAAAAGAGAAAGTTCAAGGCTACCTTATTAGAGATAAATAGGGAGCTTCAAACTTTTCTTTTTAAATTTAACATCACACATTTATTTTTCTAGAATTATGATTAGATTTTTATAAAATTGTGGATATATTTTTATTGAGAAGTGAAAATGTCAGTTATCAATTAATTTAATTTATTTTCAACAACTTTTTATGTAATTTAATTATGTATGTTTTATTTTAATATTTATGTTGACTAGAATATTATTTTGTGTCCCTCTGAAAATGGAGCTTTCGTCCTTGAACCATGTTCAGGGTCACAACGACTTGAACATTCTCAAAACCTGACTTGACTTATTTTTCTCAAAATACGTTTGCAAGGATGTTTTTCTCCAAAAGAATTTGTGTCATTTTAATATAGAAGATTTATGAAATAAAAGTGGCAAAAGTCGAAATATCTTCACAACAGTTTATTAATCGGTGGTTGAATTATAAAGCCTCTAAATATAAGTCTCATTCATAATCAACTCAATTGCCGGCTGCTTCTTCTACAATATTGTCTTCTCATGATTAAATAATAAATATCAACTTTACATTATGAATCCTTAGTAATAATTAAAGTGGTTTGTTAAAATTGATTTTTTTTCCTTGATAATAATAAAACTAAGTATATTACATTATATATTTCCGCATAACACATCTTACAATATTTTAGGAACTGTCTCTCGTGGTAGCCAATTGTGATTTGTGACATCAAACACAGTCATTGATTGTTTCTTGATAACGACTTCAGAGCTAAAAATAAGGCATAGATATGGATTCCAATCAAACATAGAAGCGGATTTCGGGATCGTGTTTGATCAAATAATGCATGTTTCAACGCTTGAGAAGTACTAGGATACCACATACGTAACCCCTTCAAAGATTCTCTCATATACGTTTTGGGTGAGTCAGTATTGGAAAAGACAAAATGTCTAAAAAGATTTGAAGACTACTCAATTTATTTCTACTATTTGGCTTCTCATTGTAAACTAAGTTGCTTTTAGTGAAGTTCTGAAATTCAGTTATCAGTTATAACTTAGCAAAATGCTATAGCATTGCATAACCAAGTTTCTTATCTAGTGATTATAAGGTCTATCTTAAAAAATGAAGAGATGAATTAGTGAGTTCAAGTTCAATGTCTATGGTATTAAAATAATTTTGACCAACAAAACTCGTCTCCCAGGAGTGTAGACTAGTCCCATGGACCAAAAAAATAGAGTTCCAATTTATCCATTTTGAACACTAAGCTATGTCTGTAACTCTGTTCAACAGGAAGATTTAAACTTAGAGTTACTATCAGTTATTTAGACTTAGAGTCATTGCATTCCTCTATCCTTTTAGATCCCATTAGATGATGGAAGAAAAATGTTAATATATTTCTTTTTATAAATGTTCCTATACCCACACCTAGTATGTATGTATTTGCAACATAGCATGACCTCTGGATCTGATTGAAGTTTATGAAAGAGTTGCAATTGAAAACTGAATTTCTTTTGATTGCCATGCATATGAATTTGGAAAATTTCCATGTTTGGCTTAAGATAAAAGATGTGAAACGCTCTGTTCATTCCTATTGAAATCCCTACCACCCTAAAAACTTCTAGTTCAATAGTCAACATTCATAATGAGTGAAACTTTTATACTATAATAACATGAAGTTCTTTTGTCACGACATTGTAACATATTTGGTATAAACTATGAAAACATCACTAGGAGGAGTATTAGTTTGTGCAAAAAGCACTGACATTGACATATGTAACACATGAATAATGAAGGTACTTGTCTTTAATCTGTGGTCTTAATAATGGTAATAGAACCTCTACCCCCGGTGGGAATCCTAGCAAGAGATGTCGCTGGTTTTTTTGACTTAACAGGGGCTAATTTGCGTGGAAGAGTCACAGAATCTTTCCCACGAGGAGGACGTGGAGGCTTTGCTGCTGATCGGGTTGTGAGAGATATCATGTTGTTGATATCCTTCAGAGTTGTTTCCCCTTCAAATCCTCCAGACTTCACAATTTCAAACGGATAAGCAATTTTCGACCGTTTGCCTTAATAACACAATGAAAAAGGCAACAAAAAGGACTTGTCAGTGAACCATTATAACGTTGAAAATAAATTGAGGGATAAACTCTTCAAGAAGCACTTCTAGCAAGAAATTGTAAGAAGAAAAAATAAAATAAGTTTTTCTGTAAACAAAAATTAGTTGATGCAGAAGTTAATTTATAAAAGTTTTCTTATATAACTTTTTCAAAATATTACAAATTAACTTTTACAAAAATTAGTTTTAACTTATGGAAAAGTTTGTTTATTTATTTTTATTTATTTCAAAAGTGTTATCGGAGAAGTTTATCTAAAAAGACTATAAGATAAATAACATGCAGAAAAAAGAGAAAAGGGCCATGCAAAATCAAAGACGGCTCCTTTTCTGTTTCAACAAAAGCTTTATCAGAGACTCACCAGATGCAGGATAATGTCTGACTACTTTATGTATGTCACTTTGTGGTGTTGATGATTGGTTTGTAGAGATGAACTTCTTTTGGTGTGTAGACCCACGATATACATGTTTATGTTTGAGTGCTTCATGTGTGTCACCTTGTGGTGATGATGATTGGTTTTGGTTTGTAGTGATGAAGTTCTTTTCGGGTGTAAAACCACAATCTGCATGTTGGAGTGCTTCATGTGTGCCACTTTGTGGTGATGATGATTGGTTTGTGGGGATGAACTCCTTTTGGTGTGTAATACCCCAATCTACAAATGTGGTGAGATGATGCATCAGCCAAATATTAATATAATGCCAAAATAACAGTGTAAATGTGTGGTGAGTATGATTCTTTTCAATTACAATTCCATATTCCATCACCAAACTTTATACACTTCTATGGCCACAGAATTTGCATCAAACAGTTAAAAAGAAAAGGAAAAACACTGAGCAATTGATGACCATTGACCACAAACATATTGAGAATGGAGTTGCTGAACATATATTGAGAAAAAGATACAAATGCATACCATGAAGGGGTTGTGCTGCTGTGGAAAGTATTGGAATTTGATCTACCTAATCATCCAAATAATGAATTTTCAGTCATAAGAATTTGACAAATACAACTTGGGGTGGGAATAACATAATTTAGCAAATTAATATAACCTGTTGATCTTTAGAGCATGATGGTAAACTTTGTTCCTCACACCAAGTGTCCCTCCCTATAATGGCATCTTGAAGGTACCCAGTGGATGCATCAGACTGAAACCAAGGATCTGGTGTAGGCATAAGCAAATTAAGACCACAAACAAGTATAATTTAGCATTCTAAGAAACAAAGGAAGCGTAGAAAAGAATATTAAAAATGAAGAGGCAAATATAATATACCACACGTACCAAGTGTCTGATATGCACGAGTGTCTCCTATGTCCAATTCCATGGAGCTGTTAGAAGACAAACTGTTTAAGTCTGAGAATAATTCAACGGAAAAGCCTTCTCTTTCTGCACAAGTCAATTCAATTAGGTTTTAAAATTCATATATGATATATATAGTATCTTTTTTTCAACAATCAAGAAGAAGAATTTAAAAGAGGATAAGAATAATGTATTGTTGTAAAAAACTGAAAAGGATAATATCCATAATTAAATTTTAAAAAACTGAGTTTGTTATTTTGTAAAGAAAAGAGAGACAAACACAAACAATTTATAACACTTACAAGTTTTTTAATTCCAAGATACATATAGATTATTATTAACTAATCTCAAAATAAATAAGTCTCTTAAACTGAGTCGGAGTTACCCTTTTTTATAAGAAAAATGTTAGCATTAATTTTTAGGGTTGATTTTAAACATTTAAAAATGATAGGTTTTTATACGAAAAGATAGTAATTATTTCATAGAGTACAAACAAACAAAAAATAGACAACATCTTTCTCAATAAAAACTTGCCATTTTAGATACTTTCAAAATTTCACCTTTTAGCTAATGTTGTTCAACTGTTTATATGTACCCACACCTAAAATTAAAATGTATGTGTTTGCAAAAAATTAAAATATGTGTTTGCAACATAGTATGATCTCTTAATGTTGTTAATCGAGTATCTTGACCCATTTGAATTGTCCGTTACTGAGTTGAGTTGGATTTAGTGAAGACTAAAATTTTGTTGACCCAACTCACTTTCGCTGAATGCTGGCCAAACATGCAACATGCCGGTCCATAAAACATTCAGTTTTAAATATAAAAAGACAAATGATACTTGTACAATAATGTAGAATATTATTTTTGTGTTTATTTTTCTTTATAATATCATTTATATGAAGTGATATTGACAGAAAAATATTATATATATTATTGTATGTGTGTTATTATTTTATAAAAAAATTATCAAAATAAAAATAACTTTAATATATCAAAGAGGAATACTTCTCTTTAATCTTTGGTTTTAATAATGGTAATATATAGAAACTCTACCTGACAAACCAAGACTTGCTGAGGCTAATTTCCATGCATGAGTCACAGAATCTTCCACAGGAGAAGGAGGCTTTGATGTTGATGGGGTGGTGAGAATTGGAATCTGGTTATTGAGGGTTGTTTCCTCTTCAAATCCTCCAGACTTCACACACTCAACCGGGGAAGCAACTTTCTTCCATTGTCCTTCTTTATAGCATCATAAGAAAAGAAACAAAAAAGACACTGTGAGGGACCACTAACTTTGGAAACAAATTGATCTGTGGAACTAATAATGAAAATATTAAGTTCATGTGCTCATGCTATTCTGAAACCAGGGCATCATTTTCAATTGACTCACCAAATGCATTGCTATTCTGAGCAGGAGCATGTGTGATTGCAGCTTCATGTGAGCCAACTTGAGGTGATGGTGATAGGTTTGTAGAGATGAGCATATTTTGTTGTGTAAAGCCATTATCTACACAAAGGTGGTGATTGGTGGGGAGTTGCATTAGTTATATATTAATATAATATAATGCCAAAATATGTAACAGTGTCAATGGTGTGGTGGGTGTTTCATTTCAATTACTATGACTTGATACAATTCCATACTCGATCACAAGCTTTATACATGTTTATGGCTACAGAATTTGCATCAAACTATTAAGGAAAAGCAAAACACAAGCACAAATCGATGAGCATGAACATATTGACAATGGAATTGTTGAACATAGATTGAAAAAGATAAGGCATACCATGAAGGGGTTGAGCTGTTGTGGAAAATCTTGGAAATTCATCAACCTAATCATTTAAATAATATTAAAATTCAATCCAAATAAAAATCGCAAACTAATAAGAAAATTGAAAAACTGTTAAAACTGATTTTTTTTTTTTACCATTTCTTTTATAAGCAATTGGTTCAAATCAATTTTCTACGGATGGTATTGAAAATTGGACCAACTTAGACTTATTTGATAATTTGTAGTGTCAAATTGAAATAATAAATAAAGACGATTTATATGCGAGTATTCTATAATATACACATATTTAATAAAAAATTAATTAAGCAACTCATTTTATTAAAAATGATACATTTCATTATGCTTCTACTCGTAATTAAATATATATAGATACAAAATATTACATGCCAATATCAAAAAAAGGTTATTGAAGCAAATAATTTGTTATTTGTATTCTTTTATGAAACACTGGAATGCTATTGAAAATATTACTTTATTTTTACAAGAGTTGTATGAATCTGTGATTAAAAATTTTACTTTATTTTTATAACAGTTGAAAGAATTAAAAATCTCCAACTCACAATAATTTTATTTTCTTGAATTGAATAAGATTTGATACTTCAAATTAAACAGATTCAAATCAATTCAGGAGCAATCCCAATTTAGTAACAAGAATTTGTGGATTACAACTTGTGCTGAGAATAACACAAGCAAATTACATATAGAGAGCGTGTGCATATAATTAATATAACCTTATTTTGGTATTGAGAGGATGATGATAACTTTGGTCTAATGCATGCGAGTACGATGACATCTCCAAGATAGCCATTAGATTTAGATGTATCATACTGATCAATCAAAGATTCTGCAGTAGGCATAATTAAGCATGTTAATACCACAGAGTAGAATTAACGAAAGAAGCAGAAGAATATTAAAAATGAAAATACACTTATTATTATATAACACACAGTACCAAGTGCAGGCTCTGTGTGAGTGGCTCCAATGTCCAACTGATCATGATCCATGGAGGTGAGAAAATTAGAAGAAAAGCTATTGAGTAAGATGGGAGTGTGACTCTCTCTTTTTGCAACTCAAATGAATTAGTTTAACCTCTAAAATTCACACACTCGTCTTGTATAAACTAACCAGACTAACGAACTTTTGATAAAACGATTTCACAATTTAATCTTTAACTAGAGATTAGGATTTTTTTTTCTATCTTAGTCTCTCTTTAAATTTATCTTTGCTTTAAATTTATTCTTTTTGAAATTATCAATAATTAAAAATAACCTTGTATTATAATGTAAATTATTTATTATAAAGTTAAAATATAGTTTATATATTCAAAAATATTTTATTATAAATTTTAATTATAATATCATATATATTAAAAATATTTATTTATTATAAATTTTAATTATGTTAAATAAATATTTATAGCGTTTATTTTACATAGTATATATTACAAGTTAATAGATAATAAGATTACAATATAATTTAACAGTTAAAACTGAAAAAATGATATACATAATTAAATTTTAAAAAAATTGAGATCGTTATTTTTAAAGGAAATATCAGTCTAACTAATATGGTAATCCATTGTTAGATAAGCTAAGAATATTTTATCACTTTGTTGTATCACTTATCCTCCCCTCTTTTTAATTAAACAAAATGTCTAATAAAAATTTCCCATCATTTAAATCAAACGATCTCTTAAAATGACTTAAATACAAAAAAAGTCATAAAATTCATTAATTTTAAAAATATTTTTGGGAATTAACCCTAAATTCATGTACTCTTTCATATTATTTATTAAAATGTTTTAATTTAGTTAATTATTTTTTTAATCACTTAATATTTATTTTGACTGGATCACTCATTACATAAATTCATAGAATTAAATATTATTAAAAAATACTCTTACAATTATGATCTAAAAAATAATTCTAATAAAACTTATTACTAGAAATAATATAAGATTTATTAGTCAAGGTTAAAACCTCATATCTTAATATAAATTGTTTAACTAATTTTGTTAAAGAATTAAATTTTAATTAAGGAATTTAAAATTTCTTACCTATGAAATTATATTAAAATACAATTGTTGGTTGTTAGGTTAATAAGAATTAAGACTTTAATTTACTGTTGGATAATACATGTGAAAAAATTCAGTGAAATTAATTTGTAACATTTTTAATATTCAAATTACAAATATTCTTAAATTGCTTTCTGAAATTGAAATCATGAGAAACCAATTTTTTTTTATCTAACTAAATACTAAAATTCATATTTTCTTAATTAGCTTTGAATTTTAATTGATTAATTATTGCATAAGTATTTACGGATACGATTTGTTGAACTCATTACTTGTGAATTTGATACTTTTGCAAATCATTAACACCAATGCAAACCAAAAAAATCACTAACAAATATAATGTTTCCTTCTCATCATATAATATCATAAATTTAAATATGATTTTGATCCATGTAAATTTATAATTTTTTTTCTCATATATATATATATTCTCTTTTTTTCTTCTTCTATGAATTATCGAATTACAATAACATTATTAAGGTTTAAATTTAAAACTCTTAATATACTATTCTAATTCTCTACCATTAGACCAATTATAATAATACAAAATATCTCATTTTTAATTATTATTTTTAAAAACATCATTATAAAAATATTAATTTATTGATGTCTTAATGATATCATCATGTATCATGTCAATTTAATAACATATCATTTATGTCGCATTTAATATAGTTTCATATTATTAATGTCATGACAATATAACATGCCATATTTATGTAGTAACTAAAAGAAAAAAATTTATCCTGACATCACAAGTGATGATGTCATTTTTTTAATAACATGATACATGATGAGGTCAGTAAGTTATTATTATTATAACAAAAAAAAACTAAAATTGAAATGTTTAAATTTCAGAGATTTTTTTTAAAAAAAGTTAATACAAAAAAAAAAATGTAAAACACTAAATTACAATAAAATAACTTATTTTAAAAAAACTAAATTAGAGTTATACATGATCCACCTTCATCTTTAAAATTCTCCTTCATTTATATATCTCCTTGGCTAACACCCATACTCAAATCCATTCTTTATTTAGTTTTGACTATCCATTGGCATTGCGTTGGTCATACCCTTCTGGAATTCCACCTCACCTTTGTGTGTAGAATCAAGATCACTTTTAAAATTCAACTTACGCCAAATTTACAGTATTATCTTTTTCACAATAAACTATATTTAGCTGATCGCATTTAACTTATTTGCACAATAACTATTAGTATATAACATATTAATCTAATAATATAAATTTCTTGGTTTTCACAAATTTATTAGAACTTTATTTGCGCCATCTCTACAGTATAATGTAATACTTCTCTGTTATAAGTACAAAGATGTTACCGAATACACAATTATAAGTATGTTTAAAAATTAGTTGAGTTGAATATAATTGAAGTTTAAAAAAATTAACAAACTTTTTATTTTTTATATTAAAACACATATTTTACTGTTGAGAGTGATTATACATATACATTATAAGTAAATAGCCACATAAACAATGCTATTAAATTGTCTAGACTTTTTTTTTAATAAGAAGGCATACACGATTATATACATAAATTATCTAAACTTATTCCAATTAACTTCACAACAAATCATTCATCCTCTTGAAACTTTTTTACTTATATAAAATATCATTTTAATTATTTATTAATATATATATATATATATATATTTACTTGT